CTGCACTCCCACTCTGGCATCTTGACCAGGGGCCCCAAGTCAAGATGGTGACAGGGCCAGGCAGGTGAAACTGTGAGCTGAAGTGGAGACCGAGGCCACCGAGGGGCATTGTGCGGGTGTCCACCAGTACTGTGGAGGAGGAGGGGCAGACGGGCACAGGGCTTCACCTCCCCCATCCCCTGCCGCACTATGGGAGCTGGCACACAGGCGGCAAGGACCAGGGCCAGGACGGGAGTAGGCAGAGGTCCCTGTGGGTGGAGCGGGACTGCGCAGGGGCCCCCGCTGGGGACGGGCAGATCAGCATTTAGCAAACAATGCCTGTGAACTGGACACTGGGGGGCTGTGGTCGTAACAGCAGCTGGATTTGTCAGGCACCACCCACATGCCAGGACTAACCTAAGGGTTAACCTGCACAGTCCACAGTCCCCTATCCTTGATTCTGAAATGTCAAAATTCTGAAAATTCATAGACTGCAAACAAACCTTCTCTGAACCAGTAGGAGAGGCTTTGTCCCATTCAATGTGATATGCCTACAGATCAGGGCAGGAACACACTCTGTCTGTAAAATAGCATGTTGCCCCAGACCCTGGGGGGGGGGGGTCACATAATGAAGTACAAAGCTGCTAAAATCCTAAAACTTCCAGATTCTGAAGCACATTTGGTCACTGTGATTTCAGACAAGGACCTGTCCTTATTCATGTAATCATCACCACAACCCTCCAAGGCGGTGAGCACTAATCATGTAAATCATTTTACACAGATGAGGAAACTGAGGCACAGGTGCACACTGTCAGCTACAGAGCTAGGATTCAAGCCAGGCTGTCTGGCTCCAGTTCCTTGCTCCCCCCAGTTTCTCAGGGGCACGTCCCCCCAGAGGAGTTCCCAGCTGGGTATCAGAGAGAAGCCCTATACCTAAGGAACTGAAGCAGAAGGTAAAGGGACAGGTGACAGAAGAGAGGAAAACAGTGTTCGGAGATCTCGGGAGAGGCCCTTGTTACCACTGATGGGTGCCTCTGAAGCTACCTGTCCCAGAGACCTCTTGGAGCAGCCTGGAACCTGGTTGAAACCCTGATTGTGCCACTTGCTAGCAGCCTGTGGGACCTTGGGTGAGCCAGAATGCTCCCAAGTCTGTTTCCTCTCCTGCAAATGGAAACTTTGCCAACTATAAAGACCCATGCAAATGGAAGCCATGGGTTAATAAATCCAAAATCTCATTCTTTGAAAGGTCGGAGAAAATAAATAACCTCCTCATGAGGCTGACAAAAAACAGAGAGCAAGATTAGGAACAGGAGACCTAAAAAAAAGAGTAATTATGATTACAGGTTTCTTAAAAAGAGTAATTATGTGGCGACTAATACGAAAAGAAAAGCTAGAGGAGATGGATAAAAACCTAGGAAAACATATAAGTTATTAGGAGAAATTGTACAAAATAGGCCTCTTTCCAAATGAGTGATTGGAAAGCTGCTTAAACGTCTAGACTGGTGAGAGGCTGTAGAAAGAGGAGCTGAGCTTTAGCCAAGCTGTAGAGAGCGGACATTTCCAGAGCTCTTTAAGGTGAATCAGCCCCCAAATTCCCTCTATGAGGCTTGCATAACCTTAGTTCTGAAACCAGATACTGACAGGATCCAAAAGAAAGCTGAAGACCAACCCAAGCGCAAATAAAGAGAAAGAAATCTACAAATGATATTAGCAAAATGAACGCAGCAGTGTAATAAATAACTAATGTGTTACAACCAAGTCAGTTTTATTCCAGATATTTCAACATCAAGAGAGATACCAGCATAATTAATTATTTCCATAAGGATAAAGTTTATGAGGACACCAATTGACAACAAAAGGGAATTTAATAACATTTAGTAGCCACAACTAATAAAAATTAAAATAGTAGTAGAAGGAACCTACTTACATGGGATAAAAACAGCAAACATCAAACAGGTGCGACGCTAAAGCCACTTCCATTAAAATCGTAAGTAAGGTGCTGATACCACTAGTGTTATCCAGCACTGTCTTCGAGGTCCTACAACATGTGATGAAACAGGAAAATACAACAATCAATCGCATATTGTAAAAGAATAGGAAATAGCATCTTGTCTGGTAATGATATGATGGTGGACCTAGAAAACACAGGCGATTCTAATTTCTTAAAAAGCTACTAGAATTAGTACATTCATTTACCAAAGTGTCTAGATAAATATACTCCGCAAAAAAACCAATAGTCTTTCTCCATGCTAACAAGAAAACATAATGTTCATACAAAGAAAAACTCAGAGGAAGAGCTCCTTTTGCTGGACATTAGGGAATACTGTAAGGCCACTGTCCTAAGCAGATGCTATGCATGAGGACGAACAGAGTGGGGGATGGTATATGGTAAAGAGGCCAGAGATAGACCCTTCTACAGAGGAATTTAATGTATGACAATGGCGGTCTTTCAGTTCAGTAAAAAAGGGACAGTATTATGATCATGCTATCATACTGCCTTTGCATAAGGAAACAATTCATGCCTCCCTGTCATGCCATTTACAAAAATAAATTTCATGTGAAGTAAGGATTAAAATGGAAATAATAAAAGAGAATTTAGGAGAACAATGGATAATGTGGAGACTAAGGAGACTTCTAAAAGTAAAAACAGGAAACCAAGAAGTTATAAGGGAAAGACAGGCATATTTAATTATGTAATATTTTTAAAAACTGAATGGTAAGGGCCGAGCCCGTGGCGCACACGGGAGAGTGCGGCGCTGGGAGTGCAGCAGCGCTCCCACCGCGGGTTCGGATCCTATATAGGGATGACCGGTGCGCTCACAGCGCTCACTGGCTGAGCGTGGTGCGGCCGGTCTCAAAAAGGACAAAAAAAAAACTGAATGGTAAAATACACCATAAACAAAGCCAAAAGTTAAAAAATAGACTGGGGAAAATAACTTGGACACAAATGACAGCTAAAGGATGAATATAATACACAGCTTCTAGAAATTGATAAGGAAAAGACAGATACCTCAAGAGAAAAATGGGCAGAGACTATGAACAGACAATCAGCATGTGGACAGATTTTCAACTTCACCAGTAGTTAGGGAAATGCAAATCCAAGTTAACAATGAGATACCACTTTTGACCCATCAGATTGGGGTGGGGGAGTGGTAACACCCAGCCACTAGCAAGGCAGACACTCCATGCCATGCAGTGCCCATGAAGTGTTGTAGCCAGGGATGGTATTGACAGTATGATACCTGAGGTGGCCTGGACAACCCAAGGCCAGTTCCTGGGCCAGCACCTGAGCAGGTCCCTAAGCACCTGCTGTACCACGTGCACCTCTTGAGGTTCTGGATTTCAGAGTGGGCAGTCAGAGGATCCTCGGATTGGCGCTGGAGTGGCCAGGGCAATTGGAGGGGTACTGGAGGGACTCTAAGCCACAAGACTCTTACCATTTAAGTGATCTGACAGCTGGTAACACTGAACAGTTGTGTACCAGTGGAATGAGCCTTTCTGAGGAGCAGTAGGGCACAGCTACCGAAATAAAAGATTACCCACCCTCCTGCGCTTAGCAGCATCTTCTCTAGAAGCCAGTAGAGAAATGAAAGTGCTAATACGTATGATGCATGTGGGAAGGCGATTATCGCAGCCTTGTTTGTGGTGGGAAAACAAACTTGGAAACAATCTGAAGGCAGGAGAGGATTGAGTGAAACCTCTCATGCCCAGACCAGGAAATGTTATGCACCTTCAAAATGAATGCGTTAGATCTGTTATCCCAACTGACCTGGAGGGGTTTCCACAGTGAGTTGACAAAGCAGAAAAGCAAGACACAGGGTCTAGATAATATGATCTCATTTACATAAAATGCGTGCATGGCTGCAGCATGCCATATACATGAGCAGATACTTGTGTGGCATGGGGAGGCACGGACACAGCATCACCGGGTTGGGAAATTTGGGGATGGAGGACAGATGAGCAAAAGAAAGAAGAGACAGATACTCATTATAATAGTATTCATCTCATGGAAAACTGGACAGATAAATATGCATCCGTGCAAAGACCTGGGAAAGTAGGCCCACCAGAATGTGGTGGTTAGCCCTCAGCGCTGGATTATGAAATATGTTTTCTTTCTTTCATATGTTCTTCTGTAATGACTGGATTTTTGTCATTTTTTACAATAAGCATATATTATTTTCTGAAACAAAAAGCTACTTTCTTACCCAAAAAAAACAAATTTAAAGAACACAACCAAGTTGTTCAGGGCGCGTTCTGGAGCCCCCTGGCAGACAAAGACCCTGGACAGAAGTGCAGGGTGGGTGGAGGCCGAAGAGCTCTGGGGATGCAGGTGAGGCCTGGGGAGGCAGAGGGAGTGGAGAGAAAGGCCGAGGCAGGGCGACGGGCAGAGCACTGGGCAGAGCACTGGGCCCTTTCAGCTCAGCTCTTTACCTGCTGTGTGACATGTGAGAGCTGCTTAACCACTCGGAGCCTCAGTTTCCCCCTACGTAAAATGGGAATGGCAAGGAATACCTGCCCTGCAGGGTCATGGTGAGGATTAAATGAGACAGCACAGGTAAAGCCCCTAGCACAAGCAGAGGGTCTCTTTGGCCCCAGAGCATGTCAGGAGCATGTCCAGGAGCATTTCGAGAACACGTCAGTGTGTGCCTGAGAGCCTTTGGGGAACATGTCAGAGCGTGTGGGGAACATGTCGAGAGAGTCCCAGAGCGTGTCAGGCATCCCATGTGCTCTAGGAGGCGGGGCACAGACCCAGGTGTCTTGGGCCAGGCAGTTAATACAAATGAGTGAACCCCCACCAGGGAGGGTGGGGCGGTGGAGACCCTGATAGCTGGGACTATTTAAAAGGGCCAAGAGTGTTGTTCTGTGAGAATATGGATGCAAAGTTCTCAGACCTTCTAATTTTTCAGGAAAACCTGGTCACCCAAATTTGTATGTGAAATTGTTACATATTTAAAAGTGGACATCCCACTAACAAACAAGCAAATAAGAACACTGCAGGTCAAGCTCTGCTCTGCTGTCCCCGTCCCCCCACCCCCAGCCCTGCACCTCTGTGCCTAGAGAGCTGGCTGCTGGAGCTCCTTGGTCCAGGGCGGCATGCCTGGCACTACCGGTGTGTGATTGGCATTGCATCTCTATTGGGCAGCACTGAGGGAGAGACAGACGAAGAAACCACCTTCCACGTACTTAGTATGACCCAGCTAAGTGTGCTCTTGGGCAGCTGCCCCTCCTGGTGGTCACTCTGCTCTAGCTACACAGGCTCTCCCAGTGCCAAAAGCCCAGCCAGACCCCTTCGCGGCACCCGCTCTCCAGCTGTACCCGGCTTGCTGTTCCTCCACTGGTCTACTCTGGCTCATCTGAAACGTCAACCCCTCCGAGGCTTAAAATCTGAAAGACGGCGCAGTGCCAGCACCTGCCTTCCAAGCTCACGTGGTACCTTGCTGGCAGGTGCTGAAGCTGTGCCGGGCACTCCTGAGTGAGGACAGCCACTGTCATGGGCAAAGCTGGAGACCAGGGGCTTGGTGACAGGGAGAACAGAATGTGGGGCTACGTCTGCAGACCCATCGGTGGCCAGATCCCCACGGAGTTTGGGGACTTTATTTTCTGGCATTAAGAGGTGACTGTGTTTAAAAAGGAGATTAACATGACATGACTGGCATTTTAGGGGAAAAAAATCACTTTGGTCCCAGTGTGGGGTTGAAACTGGCAAGGGGAAGACAAGTCTGGGGCTCGGGGCACAGCTCAAGCTGCCGAGCCTGACCTGGGAGACTCCGCAGCATTAGGGCCGGGCACTAGAGAGAAGCCAGGGACACACACCAAGGCCAGACCTGGGACACCATCTAGGGGAAGAGCAGAGGGAGGAACAGCGCAGGAGACCCCAGAGGAGCAGGGCGAGGCGGGCAGGGGAGGACGGCGGGGCCCACATCCGCAGGGGGACACCGCCCCGGCCGCCCCTGCGCATGCGCCCACAGCACCTCTGCGAGACCAGGGAGAACTGTCACATTCTACAGATGCTGGACGTTCAGGGTTGTGCAGGTTGTAAGTGACGTCATTGAGACAGGAAATACAAGTCCAGGGTCCTCTGCCCCGCTCCAGGCTCTTCTCATGATTCTAGTTACAGTTTAAGAAATTTGGATTCTTCTGGAATTTCCTGAGGCCAGGTTTTCCAATAACATTAGCATGGAGCGAGATACAGCAATGTGTTTCTTTCTCCATCCTATCAGCTCAACCAAATCCCAGGAGATGAGAACCCCATTTTTCTCCCTTCGGATGCAAAATACGACTGGCTGTTGGCCAAAATCTGGGTGCGCTCCAGTGACTTCCACGTGCACCAGACCATCACCCACCTTCTGCGTACACATCTGGTGTCGGAAGTTTTTGGCATCGCCATGTACCGCCAGCTGCCTGCCGTGCACCCCATTTTCAAGGTACAGCCAGCTACCGCTCCCGCTGCACTTGGCGGGGGAGCGAAGGGGGCTGCCATCCCCACAGGGGGACTGTGGTGGGAGTGTGACCACTGCAGAGATGCTCGGGAGGCAGTAATGCCCCCCAAGAAAGAAAGCAGAGGGGGGGACCTGTGGTTCCCCAGGACACAAGGCCAGGGCCCAGCCCAGACACGAGGGCCAGGCTGGACAGGTAGCTTAAAGGCAAATGAGTTCAGTCGGTCTCAGGCTGGTCCCAGGTGGCCACCCGTTGTCCTTCCATCCCTCTTCCCGAGTCCTACCAGCACTGACGACCAGGATGACTGCAGGCTGACAATACCTCTGTGCACCTCAGTTTCCGCATCTGTAAAACAGATCAAAATAGTGCACCTGCCTGGTAGGATGATGGTCCTTCAGAGAGCTCCCAACAGCAGAGTTAAGCACCAAGTGCTGACTACTGTCGTTTTATCATCATCGTCCTTGTCATTGTTGAGCCATGAAGGCCGCGTCCCCCGGGGCCTCCAGCAATTTCTCAGCAGGAAACTCAATACCCGACTCCCACTGCGTCCCTGTGCCCAACGTCACCCGATGCATGGCCAGTGGGGGTGCGCGGGTCCCTGGCCGGTCGCTCGCTGAGGTGTCCCCTCCCCCGCCCAGCTGCTGGTGGCGCACGTGCGGTTCACCATCGCCATCAACACCAAGGCCCGCGAGCAGCTCATCTGCGAGTACGGCCTCTTTGACAAGGTGGGTGCCCTCCCACCCTCTCCCTTCCCAGTCTCCGTGCTCCCTGCCCCATCCCCATCCCCCGGCGCCTTACCGAGCCTGGACACTCACGTCAGCCCCGCCCCTGACCTTCCACCCCTTTCCCACCACGCACTGGTGACCAGGCCAGACGACCACTAAAGTTGAGACACTGGGTTGCAAACGACAAAGCCCAACTCAAGGCAGCCGAAGCTGGATAGGACGTGCCACCTCATACTGGACATAACGTGGGGGCGGGGCACAGGCCAAAGTGGATCCGGGGCTCAGACACCGCCCCTCCTCCAGCGGCAGGGGCCTCATTCCCCTACTGCAGCCAGGCTCTCCCCACGGGGCGGGGACCTGGTCACAGCGAGTCCCAGGCTCATGCTGCCACGTGCCGATCGTCTCCCAGGCGGTACCTCAAGAGAAAGTACCGTCCCGCTTGGGCACCGTGGGCCAATCTCTGGCACCCCAGCACCCGACTCCTCCTTCGAAGCTTCTGCGGCCCTGGCTGCTCAGCCCCGTGTGCATGTGTGCACCGCGTGTGTGCTCGTGCATGCGTGCCTGTGAGCGTGCATCTGGGAGCAGGACCAGAGTCCCTCCAGCTGGGTGTTTCTGGGGGCTGCCTGCGGGTCACTGAGGGTGATGACTCTGGGCGTCCTGCGCTCAGCGCTAGAGTAGCCTGGGGGCTTCACCAGCCGGGGCCGCCTGGTGCTGGGGTCCCCCACAAAGGCAGCCAGCCGCCCAGCTGCCCTCGTCAGGGATGGGAGCTCGCCCCTCCCTCCTTCCTGTCACCGCCGTCTCTGGCCGCCTTGGCATTCTGAGTTAAACATCCCTCCCACGCCACCTCACAGGACACTGTCTGTCCCTCTGCGCGCCTGGCCACCCCCGCTCTTCCCCAGTTTCTCACGGATGAGGGGGTGAGGTCTGGGGCTGGACGCTCCGCTCAGGGCGCTCCCCTCCCCCCAGGCCAACGCCACAGGGGGCGGCGGGCACGTGCAGATGGTGCAGAGGGCCATGCAGGACCTGACCTACGCCTCCCTGTGCTTCCCCGAGGCCATCAAGGCACGGGGCATGGATAGCACAGAGGACATCCCCTACTACTTCTACCGGGACGACGGGCTCCTGGTGTGGGAGGCCATCAAGACGTGAGTGCCTGCCCGGGTCGTGGGGGAGCCCGTGGGACCGCAGGGGCCTCCACAACGGACTGCACAGGGTGGGTCTGGCTCCTTCCCGGGCGCTGATGGAGGCCTGGGACGTGCGAGGTGGGAGTCCTCACGCTAAGGGGTAAGTGTCGCCTACGGGGCAGGCGCGCAGACGGTGCGGGTCCCCCACTCCTGGCTGGCCCCCCTCCTGAGCCAGGTTCACGGCCGAGGTGGTGGGCATCTACTACGAGAGTGACCAGGTGGTGGACGAGGACCAGGAGCTGCAGGACTTCGTGAAGGACGTCTACGTGTACGGCATGCGGGGCAGGAAGGCCTCAGGTAGGGCCGCCCAGCCTCCTCCGCCCTCTCTCGTGCCCTTCCCGCGCCGCTGCCGCTCGCTGGGGCCCCTGCCCACCAGGGTGCCTCCTGGGGACGTCTCAGAGGACAGGCCTCCCTGAGAAATCTCAGGAAGCCTGGGCCGAGACCCTCGGGCGCTGTGCTGGTGGCCGGGGGCCCTCCCGGGGCAGGTGCCCTCCCGGGGCGGGGCTCAGCCGGCCCGTGGCTCCGCCCCAGGCTTCCCCAAGTGCATCAAGAGCAGGGACAAGCTGTCGGAGTACCTGACCGTGATCATCTTCACGGCCTCCGCCCAGCACGCCGCGGTGAACTTCGGCCAGGTAGGCCTCCGGGGCGGGATCCCGCCAAGGTCCGCTCGCCCCGCCACTGGCCGGGCAGAGCCGGGCCCGCCCTCCGCCTTCTACCGGCTCCCGCCGCCGTCTTCCCAGCGGGACCCTCGGGCAGCCTCAGGGCCTGGCATCGGGGTTGCGGGCGCGGGGACGGAGGAGGGGGCGACTGCCCGCCCGCTTGAGGGGCAGGAGCGCCCGGGCAGGCGCCATTTCCGACCGGCCGATGGGCGGGCAGCTGGGCTTCCGGGGCACCCACGCGCGTGGATGGCTGTCCCCGCAGTACGACTGGTGCTCCTGGATCCCCAATGCACCCCCAACCATGCGGGCCCCACCGCCCACGGCCAAGGGAGTGGTGACCATTGAGCAGATCGTGGACACGCTGCCCGACCGCGGCCGCTCCTGCTGGCATCTGGGCGCAGTGTGGGCACTGAGCCAGTTCCAGGAAAACGAGGTGAGGCCAGGCAGAGTGGGGGACAGTGCAGGTCACTCCAGGTTTAACACATTCTTTAGCCTTGGGGTTTCCTGATTCAAGGCTTAGGCAGGACATATGTGGCCAGGAATCCTGACTACCAAGGCTGGAGGGGCCTAGGAGGGCTGCAGGTGCCACCAGGTCCTCAGGCCTGAGCCTCGACAGAGCTCAGGGTGGATGGGGCGGGAGAGCACACAGGCTCTGCTCCACTCACTGTCACCAGAGGGTGGGGTGTGACGCCCTCCCCCACGGGGACACACACCACCCCCAGCTATGACAGCACTATTCCATGTGGTTTTCTCCCAAGAGTTTTCTGAGTTCCTTCCAGACATGTACACCCTGTTTAACCTAACACCACATCTGGTGCATCTTGGTGGAGCCCTTGGCAGGAGCTGAGTGCTGCACAGAGTGATGGCACCAGTTCAACAGCCCCAGACCCAAGGGCATCTAAGTCGCTTCGGGGCCTTTGCTAATGTGTTGGTCCCTCATGAGACATGCTTGTACCTGTGTCTTTGCACATGTGTTCAGTATGACCAAAGGCTACATGCCTAGTAGAGGAATGTCTTGGCCAGAGAATGTTGAGACTGACTTGCCCTCCACAAACTAAACCCCGAATCCCACCATCAATAGCATATGATGTTTCTTGCAACCTTTAAAGCCCTGAAACGTTCTGATTTTAACAATCCAATAGGTTTTTTAAAAAGATATGTCTAGCTCTAATTTGCAGACGTCTGTGTGAGCATGCAGATAAGCACACCAGCCTGACAGGGTGGCCACCCCTTCCGACTCCTCACCCCACAGGGCCTGGCCGCTGCCCTCCCAGCCTGGAGAGGCCAGCACTGGCCCCTCTGCCCCCACGTGCCTGGGCCCAGATGCGAAGCAGGCGTGCTGCATAGGGCAGCCCGAGCAGGACACCATGGCCACATGGCCACCACAGCCAGGACCACCAACAGCCTCCACGTTCCCTGCATTATTACATGGTCTTATAACCAACCACAGGCAGCGGGGCAGTTCATCTTCCCATTCACCCTTGAAGCCCCAGCCCTGGGGCCTTCCTCAGGGGAAAGCGGGTTGGAGGCGGCATTTGCATTCTCGAGGCACTCCGCAGGTGGCAGAGGGTGGCGATGGGGAGGGGAAGGTCCCTGGGGGCTGGACAGTCCTCTCAGTTTATGCAGTCTTGTCACAGATTGACCTGTCTGTCCCTGTCTGGGCCCTCAGCTGTTCCTGGGCATGTACCCTGAGGAGCACTTCATTGAGAAGCCCGTGAAGGAGGCCATGGCCCGATTCCGCAAGAACCTCCAGGCCATCGTCAGCGTGATCGCCGAGCGCAACAAGAACAAGCAGCTGCCGTACTACTACTTGTCCCCGGACCGGATTCCCAACAGTGTGGCCATCTGAGCACCGTCTGTGCCAGTCTCTGTCTGGGAAGGCAGCTTGTCACAGCCAGTGGGAGGATGGCCTGGCAGGCTCACCGCGGGAGGCCCCGGCAGCTGCTTCTCTTCCTCTGAGGCTGGCAGTGCCATTCCCGAGCCCCAGGCGGGCTGGTGGCAAACCAAAGACTACTCCAGGTTGGGCCACATTACAGCAAAGCTTCCGTGTGTTTCCTGTTTATTCCTCAATCGTTAGGGAATCCCGTACTTTCATCAAGTGTGTAAACACTGCCAAGACCCCTCCTTCCCAGGGCAGGACTCTAGCCCTTTGCCCCTGCCCAGCTCAGCACTTCCACAAGCAGCACCAGCAGACCAGGACAACTGATAGATGTCCGCTCTTGCTGCAGACGTGGAATGATTATTTTCTATTTACACTTAGCCCAACTTCTTGCATTTAGTAGGTGCCCAAATAAATTTTTGTTCAATGAATTAATTGGTTGTCATAAAAATAAAGTGCATTTAAAACAGGACTCGTTCCACATGCTATGTTCCAATCACCCCAAAGAGCTCAGTGCCCCACCCCCCACCCCACGTGGAAAAACCACCAAAAAACATAAGTCCTGTGATTCCATCTGGGCAAAGCCTCCCCACCCAAGTTTGGCTAGAAGATGCTTCTTTTCCCAGACACATCCTGTGTCCTGTTTTTAGAACACATCCCAAATGCCACCGCCTCTATGAAAGCACCCTTGGTTGCCCAAATAAAGCTTGTCTCTCCCTAGGGCTTTGTCTGAACCTCTGTTATTGCCCTCCCATGTGGTCTCTCCCTTGGGACAGGAGCCTCTGGAAGGACGTGGAACCCACCTTGCTCATTTCTGTGCTCCAGGGTTGGCATAAGACTCCAACACAAAGCTGCTCTCTCATTTTCCTCCTGGCACAGTACCTGGCTGACAAATTTCAGGCACTGTCTTAGGAGCTAGGGTCTTGTTTTCTCTTGAGACAGGGTTCTCAACATGACTTTTAAAAAGTGCATTCTCTTTCCCCAGGCCCAAAAAACAGAGTCAGCTGTGAGCTTGGCCATGGTGATTTACTGTCCCCTCCTACACGCCTCCCCCCCAGCCCCTGGCTTCAGAATTGTGTCAACAGGGTCTCCAGTGTCTCTGAAAGGTGCTCCTGATGTGGTCAGCCAGCAGCTCAAAGTCTGGGCAAAAGGCTGCTTCTACCAGGACCAACATGGCATGGAAGAAGCTGTGCGTGTGTTCCTGAAGCCACCAGTTCCTCCGAGAAAACTTGACTACTGGGACGGGTACTAGAGAGACTTCCTTCCATCCCTCTTAGAATTGCCCACCACACATGTGAATGACTTTCAAGATAGGCACCATAAACAGATGGCCATGGTAGAGGCACTAAGCCCTGTCCCTATGAGGGCAAACATGCCAACCTTTAGAACTCACAAAGCCATGTATGTGGTCAAGGAGGAGCGGGCAGGAAGGAATAGAAGTAGGCAGGGCTGAGGATGCAGGTCTGACACTGATGAAAGGAGAGAAGGAAGGATTGGGTAGAAAGGAATTCAGACTACAGAGCACCACTGAAAAAGTCTCACTCCAGCTAATGGGGAGTTCTCAAACAAAAGTCACCCATTACAGAGATTTTGCATCTGGCAGGAATGACAGCAGTGGATGCAAAGATTTGGCAGCTGAGACTGTCAGTCAGTTAAGTTCTCTGCAGCTGTCTTCCTCACTCCCTGTGGGTAGGTATCTGCGTACAGCTTCACTGTTGCTACAGAAGAGGGAGAGTCCCAAAATCTGTGCATAAACTGTCCAAACCTCTAGGTGACCCCTAAGCCACATATGCATGGGTAAAACTGCAGACAGCCCAATTTAGGATAAAACAACCTGTACAGTTCATTTGTGCTGCTATAACAAAATACCTAAGACTGGGTAATTGATACAGAATAATTTATTTCTCAGTTCTAGAAGTACTGAAGACACCACAGGATTGATGTCTGGTGAGGGCCTGGTCTCTGCTTCAAAGATGAACCTTGTATGCTGTGTCCCTGCATAGCAGAAGGGTGAAAAGGGACAAATGCTCTCTGAACCCTCTTTTATAAGGGCACTGATCCATTCATAAGGACAGATTTAATCACTTCCCTCATGATTTAATCACTTCCCAAAAGGACCCACCTCCTAATACTATCACCTTAGGACTTAAGTTCCAACATATGATTTTTGGAGGGACACATACATTCCAACCATAGCACAACCAAACTGAGATTTAAACTTTTAAAAGTTTTCAGTTTAAGTTCAACCAAGTTGATTACTTGCTTGGAAAAAAAAAAATCAACACCCTTTGGAGTAATATAACAGAATTCAGAATCTCTACAAAATAATGTTCATAATAGCCAGGATACAATCCAAAATTTTACAAATAATTAGGAAAACATGATGTATTCACAGGGAAAAGACAATTAACAGAGGCCAATCTCAAGATGTCCCAGATGTTAAAATTAGCAATTATTTTAATGCAGGTTTTATTTCTGTGCTCAGTGAGTTAAAGAAAATACATGCTCCAATGAATGAAAGAATAGGCAATCTTAGCAAAGAACTATGTGGAGGAGGAGGAGGAAGAGGAAATTATAGAAACTAAAAAATATGTGGGAAAAAATAACTGAATGGGCTTAACAGCAGAACAGAAATGACAGAGCAAAGAGAGAGTGAATTTGAAGATAGAAATGATCCAATCTGAAGGACTGAGAGAATTTTTTTTTTTTTTTTTTTTTTGTGACCGGTAAGGGAATCGCAACCCTTGGCTCAGTGTCATCTGCACCACGCTCAGCCAGTGAGCGCACCGGCCATCCCCATATAGGATCCGAACCCACAGCCTTGGAGCTACCATAGCCACACTCTCCTGAGTGAGCCACGGGGCTGGCCCCAGAGAGAATTTTTTTAACGAACAGAGCCTCAGAGATCTACAGAACTATATATATATATATATATATATATACATACATACACACACACACACACACACATATGTGTGTGTGTGTGTGTATATATATAAAGTTAACATACATGTAACTGGAGACACAGAAGGACAGAAGGAGAGGGGAGGTGAAAAATAATGTAGAACAAATATTTGAGAAAATAAAGGCCAAAATTTGCCTAAATTTGGTGAAAAACAAATTTAAATTTTCAAGAAGCTCAACCAAACCTAAGCAGAATAAATACAAAGAAAACCACACCTATATACTTCAGAGTTGAACTGCTCCAAACCAGAGTTAAAGAGAAAATCTTAAAAGCAGAAACACATAATATACAGTCGAACAAAAATGTGAGTTACAGCTGACTTTTCATCAGAAACTGTGGGGGCCAAAATACAATGGAACAGCATTTTTAAAGCATTAAAATAAAAAATCACCAACACAGAATTCTGTAATTGGCAAAAATAGAAAAAAAAAAAAGAATGAAAACAAAATAAAAAATTCAGGTGCAATAAAACTGAGAGAATCTATCACCAGCAGATCTGCACTACAAAAAACGCTAAAGGAAATTCTTCAGGCTAAAGGAAAATAATGCTAGATGAAAACTCAGGTCCTCAGGTAGGAATAAAGAGTGTCCAAAATGGTAAATATTTATTAAATGTAAAAGATTTCCTCCCCTTAATTTCATATATATATGAAATATATATACGTATATATAACTATTTAAAGCAAATCATAAAACAGGTAGTAAATGGTAGTTACATGGTTTCCACATTTTATATCAAGTGGTACAATATTAATTTTAGGTAATTTGTAAAAATTTAAGGAGGTAGATTATAATCCCTAGAGAAACCACTAAAAATACTATAAAGAAGTATGTAGAGCTAAAAAGCAATAAATGACTTAACATCGAATTCTAAAAATATATAAATAATGACAAAGGCAGGAAAAGAGGAACAGAGAAACAAAAACAGAGATAAAAACAAATTAAGTAATAAAATGGTAGACATAGATTCAATCTTATCAATAATTATATCAAATGTTACTGAAGTAAAAACTCCAAGTAGGGCCGGCCCGGTGGCGCACTGCTACAGTGTGCCGCTTGGGAGCATGGCGGCACTCCC